CCTCTAGACCTTTCTTCCTTCTCTTCATGCTTTTTCTGTATTTCTTTTGCGTGTCAACACGTCTCTTTGAGCCACTCTCAACGCCAGGTGTGTTGCAGCCAAATGGGGACCTACGTTTTTTAGGCACCCCTCCCCCAAAAAACACATTGAAAAATTAGCAACTTTCACTATTTCTTTCCCGGCCTTCCTTGGGCCTGTGTATTTTTCTAAATTTAATTCATCTTGTTTTTCAATTTTTAATACATGGGAAACACATTTAAAGAAAAAACAAACTAAGAAACTACTTACCTTTTTTGCTTCTCCCACTTATGAGGCTGAAACAATGTTTGGCAGCGTTTCTCGCTTTGCCGGGCCCTTGCAACTTTTTTCGCCACCACAGAACAAGGCATCACGTGGGAAAGGCCCACACTCATTCACTAAGACTAAAACTTTATCTAATTGGCCCAAGCTATATTGCACAACTTCGGGCTTGGATGCAATGCTGCATGGCTCCATGACTTATCGTTTCACTCAACCTGCAATCAGCCATCACTGCCGCAATCACTGGACTCTTCTGACAGGGCCCCAGGGCATTGGCAAACACAAGGAAAGCCATGTCCTTTCCAGCGTTCAATTGTGCCTGTGAGCTCTGCCAAAACCGATTGAAGTAACGTCCCAACAATCCGAATCGTTTCACGCGCATTCCTGCATTCACGTTCCCAAGGACGCTTGTGCGCAAGGTCGGCACATGGAAGCCAACGGCAATACAAACCGGGTTCCAGGCCAAGTTTGCGGAATTCCAAACTCAGAACCTCCACCATCCTTCTTCTTTTGATGATTCGGTTTTCCAAATCAGGCTCAACATGTTCAACATCATTGGTAGCCATGGCCGTGAGCACTGAGCACTACTGGGACGTCTACGGAATCTATGCACCTAAAACATATTCAAGGCGTGGAAGACAAGCATGGAGACAAGAATCCATCCAGAATCCCTTCAACATGAGCCCCTAACAGGTTCAATCGCTACAGCAAAAAAAGACACCAATAACTGGATTGATTTGCCCAACTAAAAAGAACCTTACAGAGTGGACTAAGTGGACACGTTGCAAAGCAAATCTCCCGTAATCTCCCAGTTCTGTTTTTTTCATCGGACACATTGGAGGTCTGAATGCATCTCTCACGTCAACGCTTGCCAGGTTTTCCCAGCAACAGACACATACAAAGCCAAGCTGCTTCAAGCCGTGGCTTGCACACAAGAAAAACAGACTGCAACGCAGTCTGACCCATGAACCCAAACAAAACAGGAAGCTTTGCTTTTAGGCCTGCTTAAGAATGTCGTGGATCTGGTCCATTCTGGCAACTGACTTGCCACCGCTTTTCTTGACTAGTTCGATTGCCTCTTTGTACTCCTTCTCCGACCCTTTCAAGAAGCAGGACTTGCGAATCCCATAGATAAGCGTAGTGTCTGAAGCCACCTCAACTGAAACCCATCCAGTTGGAACAAAAAGAATGTCGTGTTTCTTCAAGATACACTGCTTCATGTTAACACCACGCTTTGCTTGTTCTAGGAGCTTGGTCTCATCCAAGTTCTTGAACTTATTGAAAAGGTCCTCTGGTCCCAAGTCAGCAGCATCTGCTCCGACGCTGCTTCGAAAGTGTTTGCTGAAGGAGTCCCATTCAATCAAAAGGTGCCGAACCTCGCCAATTGCCAGCAACTTGATCAGGCCTGCATGGTTGGGATTGAAGCCAACTTGCTTCATGTCGGAGCTGCACCCAAACAGCCAAGCACCTTCCATGAAAGCATCCCCCCCCTTCACCGCGCCGATGTGCGCTTGGAGGCCTGACACAGAGAGCAAGGAAGAGAAGAACTCATTTGCAGTTTTCAGTCCAGTCTTCTCATCCAAAGGGAAAGTCACATGTTGCAGCTTTGCCTGGGCCATGCTTCTCTTGTACTGGCCACCCCATGACGTGAGGGCCTTGGACAACTTAGCGTCACCCAAGCAAACCGCAACAGGATCATCTGGGTTTGCTGCAGCTCCGGCAGGGCCACAAACAATTACCCAAGGAAACTTCCAATCAGCTGATGTCAGTTCCTGAACACAATCGACTTTGCTCACATCTGCAGCCGCCTCGCTTGGCCAGGTAGTGGTGTAAAGGGATGGCGTGTGGTTCGTCTCTTCAAGCTTCCGTTTCTTGATTGCGTTGGCAGCAGCCTTGGCATCTTCCTTGACTTTGTTCAGCTGCTCTCTTTGTGCGTCCTCTGCTTTCCGTTTCTTCTCACGAGCGCTCTCCGCCACTCTCACCTTCATGTGCTTGACCAGGTCATCTGCAGACTGCTTCATGCCCTTGCACAATGCCAAATAGCAAACCTGACTTGTCGTCCATTGCTTCTTCAGGGCCAAAAACTGACCTGCATCCTGAGCCTCCAAGATCTTGTCAATCACGGTGGAGTTCAGGTCGGTCACAGGCATAGTGGCACTAAGGTCACCCTCCCAAAACTTTTGTTTCTCTGTCCTGGTTTCTTTCATGAAGTTTTCAAAGCTCACTTTGCGCCTTGCGTCATTGAGTGCTGCCTCATTGTTTGTCAGGGCTTCACTTGGGCAGGCGCTTGATTGCAGGTCAGCTTTAGATTCGGCAGGTGTGTCTCCAGAACACAGCAAGTTGTCTGGGACCAACTGCACGATCTCTGAAGCATTCCCCAAGCAACGC